GGTGGCGGCTCAGCGAGCGTCCCCCTCCCCGGTCGTAGAGGCCATGACGCTGTCGATCCAGGCCGCATACGGGGCGATGCGGGTGTAGATGGCGGGTTTCTTGTAGTTGCCACAGATGCGGGAACCGGCTGGGGCCCACCCCCTCGCCCCCCCTGCAGACCAGGGGGCCGCCGGAGTCTCCCTGCAGGACCAAGGCTTATCAGCACTGCTGAGGGTTTGCTGCCCCATCTCCCACCTCGACCCTGGAGCTGGGGGTCCCTGCCTGACCCAAAGGTCTGCGGGGGCAGAGCTTCAGCCCCTGGGTGCTCTCAGCCGTGGGGTTCACCGGCAGGAGCTGTGGGTTGGGGTCAGTCCTGTCCTCCCTCGGCAGCCCTTGCTCCTCCCCTTGCTCTGCTGACAGCCCAGATCCCCGGCTTTGCCAGGACGTGGTGGGGCAGGCGGGGGGGCTTTCAGCGTGGCCCCTGGCGTCCTGGCAGACCCATCAGTGGGTACCCTTGGGGTGCATTGGGTCATGCCCGTGGCCTCATCCTTGTCTCTAGGCTCACGAGAGCTGCTGTGCAGCGGCCAGCACAGGGCAAGGAGCCCCCATCACCCTGGGGGCACAGCCCCATCCTGCCCTGCAGCCCCACACTCCCGCCTCTTCCAGGCTGCAGGTATCCTCCCCCCACCCACCCCACTCCCAGACCCCCGAGGGGGTCAGCAGCCCCAGCCCGTGGGTGTGGCTGTGGTTCCATGTCTGGGAAAGGAGGGGGCGGGAGGCCAGGGCGAGTGGTACCTTGCAGGTGTCCTTCCTGCGGGAGTCGGTGCACATCATCTTCTCGGTGATGGTGTGGTCGTGGCGGGTGCGGTGGTTGCAGACGTCGCGGCTGATCACTGGCCGCTCCACCTGGTAGAGCTTGTCCGGCTGGCGGCCGCTGTGGCTGATGGTTCCCCAGCCCGCCACCTCGCACACCGTGTCAGCCTCCACGTCCCTGTCCTCCCGCTGGAACGGCAGCACCTGCACGTGCGTGTTCAGCTCCGCTTTCTCCTCCAGCTGCCACAAAGCAAGAGGGGACCCAGGTCAGCAGGGGCTGGCTACAGCCGGGGACCCAGCGAGGCAGGGCGAGCCCAGCCCCGATGCCGGGACTGCCCCAGCCTCGGCCGTGCTCAGGGCTTTGCCTTCCGCCCTCAGCCCCTGGGACGCAGCCGGAGACCCGAGTTGCAGCCACGAGGACCATGGGGAAGACGGAGGCATTCGGATGCAGCCCGAAGGTCTTTGGTGGGGGAAGCAGGGACAGTCCCATGGGATGGGGAAGGAGGGACAGGGGGGACCGAGCAGCCTCAGCCTGGCCTCGAGGGTTTCCTCCCGCCGCAGTCAGTGGCCCCGCGGGGTCCCAAGGGGCAGAGGGATTTGCAGGAGCAGGGCAGTGCCTGGCGGGTGGTGGGGAGGAGGGTCCCAGCCGGGGTCCTGGCGGCCCCAAGCCCACCTGGAGGAGGAGGAGGTCGTCCTTGTTGTTGTGGATGTTGCTGCCGGGGTGGGGGATCTGGGTGCGCACCCGGTATAGGCGTTTGTGGGGCTCCGGCTCTGTGAGCGAGTGGGCGCCCAGGAGGACCTGGAAGACTCTGCCGTCCCTGGAAGAGAGGTGGGGCGTGGGGGCTCTGCCTACTCTTCAGGGCACGTGGAGCTGGGGATATTGCTACGCCTGACCATGGAAACGGGGTGCCAGAGAGCCCCCCCACGGGGTGCCAGGAGGTCCTGGGGGTCCTGCAGCCTCTGCCTGCAGGCAGGAGCAGAGCCCTGGTGCTCCGATGCTGGGGCTGGGGCTATGGAGCAGGCCTGTGTTGAACACACACACACACACACACCACACACCACACACACACCCCCTCCCCCCCGCCCCCGGCACTCACGTCTCCTCGGTGCTCGGTGCAGCGCTCAGCACCCACTGCTCGGCGATGAGGAAGCCCCCACAGACGTGCTGCCCATCCAGCTGCAGCGAGGCCATGTATGGCCTCAGGTGGGGCGTGGCCTCGTAGCCCCCCAGGATCCGTCCACGGGGCTGCCCTGTTGCAGGTGGGAGAGAGGCCGGGTTAGCTGGGCATTGCCCCAGCCCACCCAGCAGGGCAGGGGGCAGGGTCACCCTGGCAGTCCCCTCCGGGGGTCCCTGGGCCCCTCCCTGTGGGCCGCGGAAGCGCCTGGCTGCAGACGGAGGCAGGAATCGGGGGAGCTGGGCGGGAACCCCCTGTGCTGGGGATGTTGCTGCCCCAGTCTGTCCCTGTCCCGGGGTGCAGGGGGGGATATACTCACCATTCACCACGGTCCCCAGCAGCAGTAGCAGAGCGAGGCTGAGGACCGGAGCAGGACTCGGCCCCATGGCTGCAGTGGAGCCTGGCGGTGCCTCTGCCCTGGCCGTGGGGTCCGTGGGTTCTGTGGGGCGGATGCTGCTTGGCCGGG